AAAAAAAAATTCTTTAAAAAATAATAATAATAACAAATTAGCTAGGTGTAGTTTGCCTGTAACCCCAGCACTCTGGGAGGCTGGGGCAGAAGGATCACAAGTTGCCTGGGCAACTCACAACTCAGTGAGTGAGCAAAACCCTGTCTCAACATATAAATTAAATAAATGAAGGGTGAGGGGTGTAATTCAGCATAAAGGACTGTTCCATCCTAAGTACCATGAAAAACTTTTTTCATATATCGAAAAACTTTTTTTATACAAAACAGCACATGATAAATGAATAAATAAATTTCAGGTATTTTTAGATTGTATTGTTAAATGTTCATTATAATATATTACAAACATCTCTTTCTTTTAAAATTAAATTACATGTCCAACATTATACTTCAGCTGCAAATAGCTGACATTCAGAATTTTTTTTTTTTGGTACTGAAAATCGAACTCATGACCTTGTGCTTACCAAGCAGGCACTGTGCTGCTGAGCTATATCACTAGCTCAGAATTCTATCTATCTTCTTGGCAGCATAAAATGTTGCATATCTCAACAGTACAAGATAAGGTGGTTATTACTGAATTTTTTTTACTTACCATTTCAGTGCACAAGTGCTAATAATAATAAAGGCAAATTCCAGCTTAGAACAGTTCTGTGTCTGGTTTATTGTAAAGACAACAAAATCCTTTTATCTTTAGGTAGTTCATTTGGAAACATATTCTTTTTGATCAAAGAACTCATTCTTGAAATATTTTCATTTTCTCTGGCAAATTACCTTCATTTTCACTAAGAACTTTTATTAGCTCTATCTGTCTATCTTGTAATAGATTAGTTCTGTGTGAATTTAATTCTCTGGCTCTGACTTTGGAATCTGAGGTTCTCAACTTTCTGTCTGTGATACTCACTGAGGTTATTACTCTTGCGTGTAAAAAAAACCCAGGCTAGACTAGACATCACCCACCTTATAGATGAGAACAGATGGTCATGAGCCATACAGGGTAACCCTGGCCTTCTAGTTATATAATTTTAAAATTCAAATTCTCTACATCAATCTGTTATTATATTTAGACCAACAGCTATAAAATGAGCAGCTAGTCAAACCAAATTACATGTTTCAAGTTCAAAACCTGAATACTACCTTTATCTCTGGTATTCTACTCTGAGGTAATATAGAGAACCACACCAAAATCAGACTTAGCATTTCTAGTACATACCCAAACTATACAAACCAATTTGCCCTAAAATGCTAACATATTTACTGAATGAATTCTCTCCTTTATATCAAGGTTTGTTATACACGGGAAATATAAAAGGTGAAGAAAATACTCCCTGATAACTAGGTTTGGTAATACACATCAATAATCCAACACTCAGAAGGCTGTGACAGGAGGCTGAGTCTGTCCTGGACTACATAACAAGACCCCGTCTTTGAAAAAAAAAAAAAAGTTCCTTAACTCCTAGAATTCTCATTCTAGAAACAACAAAGATATGAGAGCTGATGCTGATGAGTGGCAGAAGAGGACAAGAGGAAGGATTAATTCTGCTGAGGGAGCAACAAGGTCAGAGAAGGACTGGCAGATACTTAAACTAAGCCTTGTAGAACATCTGCTTCCATGAACTAACTTTCTAAACGCCTTGAAGTACATTAAGCTAAACTTTTTACAACTGAGAGAGAGGAGGGGAGGCAGAGAGGAGGGAAAAGAGGAAAGCAGACTAAGAGGCATCGTGGTGTGTTATGAACATGCACCAAACCTCAAGACTGATGAATATAATCACTGCATACTACAAACATAAAAAAATTATATGAGCCTTTTCGTTAGTTGTATTCCAAACTACTTCTAATAAGATATGGCATAGCTATATACACTTCTTTCTCTCAAGAGCACACACACAAATGGCTGAGTGTCCTGGTGTGCTTGCGAATAGCCTAAAGAAGTCCACAAGAGCTAAAAACAGTTACTGTGAGTAAGAACGCTTTGGGGAGCTTTTAAAAGTCCTTTGTGAGAACAAGATGTGCTCTGACCAGAACCATTTTATTCCTACTACAATCTCTATAACTACCCAGTTAGAAAAAAAAAAAAAAAAAATCCAATTACTACTGTACTTAGCCACACTGGGATCTAAGCTAAAAACTGAATAACCTAAGAATATATTAAGTAAAATATGGTCCTTACATGAATCCAGCCTCATTATAAATTTATCTGTCATAAAGGCTGAAGGATAAAATCATCTTAAAAAAAAATAGTGATGGTAAAGTGACAGAGACAAAAAATTCAAAAAAATGTTAATTACTTATTTTAGAGAAAGAGCTCCTGGTGGCCAGACAGGGTGATACACGCCTTTAATGGGGTGGGGGGTGGGGTGAGGCAGGAAGAGTTCCAGACCAGCGAAACCCTGTTTAAAAATGACCAGAAACAGTGTTCCTGTAAATATCTTGATATTTTTAAGGGGCACAGTACACGAACCACAGCACTAATCACTTTCATAACTTTTAAATAAAGCAAAAATGGGGGGAAAGAATTCAAAAGTATTGGTTGATCTCATTACCTCTGCTTAAGAAACTTTATAGCTGTGACTTCACTCCTGGATTACACATCTATATTTAGTTTATACCTAATATGGATGAAGTCCTGAACAGCCATTTCCTCTCTCCACAAAAAGAAACTTCCTTGCTTTTTTTCTATCAACAATGCAAAGTGAAGGCTCCTCTGAAGTGGGAGATTTTTTTTAAAAAGACAGAGAACTCAGAAAAATATTAGCAAATTAGTGTGATCTTTGCAAAACATGGCTCGCTACAACATTTCTAAATCAGAAATTTTAAAAATCAAACTTTGTGATGTTCAAACATCACAAATCCTTTAACAAGTTTATAAATAAATCCAAGAAATAATAAGTAGTAATCAGGTTTCCAAAACGCAATGAGGTGAGGTCATGGAAATTTTAGTTTTCTTTCAAATTTTGATAAGAGGAGCTAATGAGTGTAGTTCAATGATAGAGCATTTACCTGGCATATGT